GTTTGTTTTCCATCTCAGGTAAGCACAAGTACCAAAAGCTTCTTCAGATGCATCAGAAAATATGCAAAGTTCAGGTAAGTTAACAAATTCTGGAGGTGTCAAGCATCTTTCAAATTCTATACCATTTAAACTGTTCATTTCAGCAAACAAATTTAACCATTCAGATTGCAAATTTTCAGGTAAGGTTTGATCCCATTCTAAACCAAGTTGCCACAGTTTCTGCATTCCAATCTTCAGTCGTACCAAAAATGCAGCAGCAAAACCAATTGGATCAAATAATCTAGCAATTTGACTCAAAATTCTTCTTTTTGTCAAACAAACAGGAACATTAGATTTATCAGCAAATTCAATCTTGACTTTATATGAAAAAGTGTCTCTAGTATTATTCCAGACGATTCCTAAAACCTTTTCTTCATTTAAATTAGTCAACAGTTTCAAATCTTGATTTTCAGAAACAGGTAAGCAGTTTAATACTTTATTAGATATCCATCCTTTAACTTTAAATCCACCATTAGCTAGTGCAGAGTCAATATCAATAGTCAGTTTACTAGCTTCATTTACAGTTTTAACTGAAGTACATATATCATCCATATAAACATCATTTTCTAATACTTTAGCAGCTTCAGGTAAATGAGATTTTACTTCTTCAGCAGTTTTCTTTAAAGCCATCTGAGCCATAGCAGGTGCTGGCTTATCACCAAATGTCAATACAGTTTTGACATATACATCAGGAGTTTTTTCAACATTGAGATTTCTCCACAGGAACCTATGAACATGTTGATCTTCTACAGGAATCAGTACTCTGTGATACATCTTGGAAATATCCCCACAAATAACCACTTCATTTTCTCTAAATCTCAGTATAACTCCAAATAAATTGTTGAGAAGATCAGGACCTTTATACCAGTAATCATTCAAACAGTGACCATTAAAACTAGCAGACGAGTTAAATACTATTCTTACAGGTGTACTTTTCTTCTCTGGTTTTATAACTTCATGATGGGAAATATAATGAACAGGACCTTTGTATTCAGTAATTTCTGAATCTGTAAGTTTTCTAGCGAATTTCATATCCACCATTTCTTCAATTTGACCATTATATATTTCAGCATGTACAGGATATTTCAGCAGTCGACGTTCAGTTGATTCCAATTTATTTTCAGCTTGTATTCTATTATCAGGAAGTAAATTAGGATCTTTTCTCCAAGGATAAGGTATTATCCATTGATTACCAATCTTCTTACAGGATTTCTCGATTATCTTAGATTCTTTAATTTCTATGGGACTGAGACCACTTTCTCGACAGCAACAGGAACCTGAAGCCACACCCATTGCTTCTGTAGTCCAAAAGTCAGCCATATCTACCGGACCCGACAATCCGACATGATACACACGATGATCTTGAGTTCGATATCCAGATGTCACACCAAATATAATCCATCCCAAAGGTGAATGTCTTGCTATCAGATTGTTATATTGTCTTATATCCCCTGTATGCAAAAAAGCATGATCTATGCCTATGAGTAGATCAAGAGAACCGTAACCTCTATGTAAACATCTAACAGTTAAATTAAAAACTTTAGCTATTTCAAATAATCTAATTTCTTCAATATCTTCACCAATACATGGAATTCCTAAAGCAGTAATTTGAAAAGATCTACCAGTATCCATTGAAACTATTCTAAATTTATACAGCTTGGTTCTAAGTTCTTCAGAATCTCCACCAATTTTTGTCATCACAATACTTATATCTTTGCCTTCTAATTGAAGTTGTTCGGCCATTGATTTTCTAATTAAGCTAAGCTGGGCACCAGAGTCTAACAGGGTATTTCCTCTAACAGTATTACATTTACCATAGATATCAACAGTTATTACAGGTAAAATAGTTTCTCTACTATTCAGCATTGATGCAATTCCTAC